TATCAACACTGTCTCTTTGTTATAAAATTCCATCCAAATGCACCCGTTATCTATCAACCTTTTGATGGTTTATATTGCCATTTAAAAACTTTTAATGTTTAAGTGGTCAAGAATAGCCCCTGAGTGTTCAAACTGTGGTTAGAACAGTTTCTCTTCCCTGAAACTTACCTGTTTTCAGAAGGCTCTTACAGGATACTTGGTTTTAGTTTTTACATTTAAGTCTTTAACATAACTGGAATTAGTATGGATGTACTATGTACTATATAGATATGATTATTTATATAGATATGATTATCTATATAAGATAGCAGTCTAATTTTTTCCAAACAGTCAGTTGTGAGAACACAATTAATCCTAACTTTTCCTATTAAACTGAAAGATCACCTTGAACAATAAAATTCTCATGTATTAGAGACCTAGGACATAGAATTGGGATTTAGTTCTAGAATCCTCTTATTTGTTGGTTCTAGGTTGGTAACAGTGGTTTGGTTACATTGCTTTAATAGTACAGTCCACTTAGTAATGATATGTCTACCCTTATGAGCACTTTTGAGCATGGTCTGCATATTTATTCTCAGTTACTCATTAATTCCACTTGTTTTTAATATCATTTTATGCAACTCTGCTCTTACTTCCCCCGAAACAATCACCTTTTGGGATTCATTCTATTTGGAACCACATAAGTTTATACATTAATCTTAGAAGAGCTGATTCTTTTATGATTCTAAGTCTTCCCATGTGAGAAAATAGTACACCTTTCTATTTCTTCAAATCTTGTTTTATAGCCGTCAATAAAACTTTTATGTAGGTACCATAAAAATTATTCCTATGCAATGTATACTTCAAATTGCTATTTTAAAAGGAATTATTACTCTCTTTGCATTTCTAGGTTTCCACTGCTAAAGTTAAAAAAAAAAAGCTGTTGATTGCTAGGATACAAAAACTCTATAGAATTTTATTTATCATTTATCTGGTCAACTTACCAAAGTTTCTTATAATTCTAGTATTATCTACCAGTATCTTTTGGGTTTTCTAGATAAACAATCAAAAATGAACATATTTACATGGTCATATTTTTGTGAGCATATTTGCATAAGCAGAGAAATTGTTCATCATTTTCCCAATAATTCTAACAGTTACTTAGTCTTCTTGGCAGCTGCTAACCATTCCAGAACAACATTGAATTATAACATGATGGCAGGCATCTTGACTAATTTCTTATTTAAAATGAAATAGTTTTAGAATTTTACCAAACAAGGAAGCATGCTGCTGATTTTTGTAAACAGTCTAAATTGTGGTTAATTGGCTTCTTTCTATTCCTATCTTATTCAGAGCTCTTAATTCAGGAAAAGCAGCTGAATTGCTTAAAATACTCTAGTAGCAGCTGCTGATGAAATTGTGTCTTTCTTCTTTATTTTGTTGATATAGTGATATTTAGAAATTTTCTTTTTATTCCAAACCTCCTGTATTCTTGAGATAAATCCTACTTGGTCAGATATTTTATTCTTTTAATACATGCTGAACTCCATTTTCCAATATTTTATTTTATTCTATTCTATTCCATTCCATTTTGAAGAAGTAGGGAACAATTCAGGATTAGGTACATAAGTAGTCATTGAATAGGTGAAGTTTGGGCCTCCCACTGATCCTCATTTTTGCCTGGTTTGGGATCAGGTACCCTTACTGATGTTTGATAGTTTATTTAGAATTTTTTCATTTATGTTTCTAAGCGAGGTTGGCTCATACTTTTTTTTCCCTTCAAATTATGCTGGCTTGATAATAGGATTAATTTTCTGCAACAGGTTAAATAACATTAGAGTGCAATCTTCACTAAAATACATATATAAATTTAGCTGAAATTCATCTGACCCTGGTAGTGTTGGTCCCCAGAGCCCTTTCTTATCTATTTTATTTTATTTTAGATTCAAGGGGTACATGGGAAGATTTATTACTTACATCGAGTGATGGCGAAGTTTGTGTTTCTGATAAGCGTCCAGCTGCCCTTTGTGGTGAGCGTGGTGCCTGATGGGTGGGTTTTCAGTCCTTCTCACTCCCTCCCCTTTTTGGTCCCCAGTGTCTCTTGTCTCAGTCCGCCTGCCTGTGTGTGCCCTGGTGGCCTTTTTAGTTTCATTCTAGCCACAAAATAACACGATACAGAAATGTGACTGTGGGCACAGTGAGAATCAAATGGGACTGCGTTTGTTCATGATTTAGAGAGATTCGTGAATTTCAAGCCTGTTTTTATGCTACTTCACCTGCTATGAGAATTGCATCGAGAAACAAGGGTTTGCTGCTTCAGCTGGCTTGGGGAATCAAACACAAAGAGAAGGAGAAAAAGCAGGAGAGAAATACTGCTTGAAGAATCCAGCCCGGGAGAAGGGTCCCTAGCAAATGCCTTACACGTCACAAACTGCTTTGTGTAGGGAGTCTCTGGAATGAGCCTGAACTGGAAAAAATTGCTAAGCAGGACATTACTGGAGCAAGAATGGCAAGATGGGAATACGGATTATAGGATAGTGCTGCATACCCGTTATGTGTTTCTGATTTGATCATTGCGCTGTGGTCACGTAAGAGGCAGGTCTCGCAACCAGGCACTGAAGGATTCAACAGTAAAGGGGCTTGGTGTCTGTGACACATGCCCCACTGGTTCAGAAATGTATGCCCCCGTGTGTGTGTGTGTGTGCGCGTGCGCGTGTGTGCACAAGAGAATGCCAATGGGGCCAAATGCTCATCATTGATGAATCTGGGTGAAGGACATTTTGAAGGTTTTGTGCTCTTTTTGTACCTTTTTTCTGCATTTCCATTTATTTTACACAAACACCACCAAAATGATTTCCACAAGAGCAAACCTGCATGTTCTCAAAAGGCGTGGCCCTTCCAGAGTGAACAGCTCCAGAGACCTGTGCCCCTCCTAGCTGGATGGTCCCATTGACCAGCGCTCCTGGCAGCCAGCTTCAGCACCTGCACAGGGGACTCTGTGGTGACCTAGGGCCCTTCCACCTTGAAATACACAATGTCCTTTCTTTGTAGTTTGAGGAACAACAAAAAAAAAAAGGCCCCAAAGTCACTGTGGGTCTTAAACTTTAACCAGAAAATATTGTTTAAAATGAGGTACCCCCGAGACAGTCTTTGCTAAGTCTGATTGGAGCCCATGAATCTGCATTCTTCGAATAAACACCGGTTATTCTCCTGCAGTTGGGATGTGAAACCAACACTGCCCCATTACCTGTCAGCCAGCGTCTTGTGTACAGCAGTCACTCAATAAACACCAATGGATTGATTCGAATTGCCTGAGGCTTTCTGGGGCTAAGAAGACAACTCAGCCCTCATGCCCTGAGCATGGAAATAGTCCTAAAGTCCTTTCAGGTGACATGCATTCCTGTCCTGAGCTTGACAGCAGCCTCCTAGGTCCCCATGTCCTGTTCATAAAATAAGTACAGGGCACAGGTTTGCGTGAAGTGCCAGCTCTATGACTCTTGGCCCCTTTAAGCCCTGAATAATTAATGGAGCATTCCTCTAAACGGTCGCATAACTTCAACCAACTCAAAAGTTTTCAAGTCTTGCAAAGTTAGCAACCTCTGGTCTCTCCTTGGTACATAAAGCAGAGGGAGGCCCTTGAGCTTCTGTCCATGTGAGTAGGCAGTCTGGGTAGCTTTTCTAGCACAGGAGAAAAACGAACATCAGCTCAGTCCTGTCCTCATCATTCCTTTGTCTTTTAGGGCATCCGTGTCAGCAAGTGTACTCTGCAATGAGCTGGGTATAAAATAATGAATATAGTAGCTTGCCCTGGCCCCGTGTGGCCTACAGATTAAGAGGATCAGGGGTGTGGATGCAGAGGCCTTCGAGGTTGGGGTCAGGCCTTGAGTTTGCAGAGTGTTGGTGAGCTTCTAACTGTGTCAGCTCTATGACTCACCAACACCCTGCAAACTCACCAACACACTGAAAACTCAAGGCCTGACCCCAGCCTCGAAGGCCTCTGCAGCCACACCCCTGATCCTCTTAATCTGTAGGCCACACGGGGCCACAGAAAATTGTTATATTCATTATTTTGAACCCAGCACCCAGCATTGAGACCACTCAGAAAAGAAGGATGAATTCATGGATGACCTGAGTATCCAGGCACCAATGAATAGACACACTGTAAACACTTATAGCATCGCAAGTTATACCACTGTACATCTGGTAACTTCCACTCACACCTATCTAGATGGCTGTTTCAGAATGTAAACACCCACAAAGCAGAGGACCCAGAGTCAGGTTCAATGCCAGTGGGCGTGTGAGACTCCAGACGTGGGCCATTCTGAGGTCCCTAGAGCACCAGCTACAAGCCACTGGCTTCTTCCTGACAGCGAAACAAAAAGCAAGAAAGCTGAGTAGCAGCTGAGTCGTTTTAGCTCATAATTTATATGTATTTCCAGTGTTTGAAATCACCACAGTCAAGCAATAAAAAAGAACTTGAAAATCATGAAAAATACCAGATGAGCCGATTCCTGTCCTCCATGGTAGCTGGAAGTCGGAATTCATTATTTTAGCTCCAACCGTCGATGGAAACGTTCTTCCACAAGGACGGATACTCTTTCAAGAAGGACGAAAAGGATGCCAGATCGCACGTTGTGCATTCGTATGTACGTTTAAGAATTCAGAACTAAACTAATGAAGTGGAATGAGGTTAGACGTCGTGCAGAAATTTCTGCTTGGGCTGAAAACATGAAAACGTCGCGCAGGCATTCAGCAAGGGACGGGTCACAGGGGTCTATTATCAAGATATATGGGTTCATAATTTCATGGGGTTATTCAAGAATGATCTGCTATGATTGAAACCATGTGTGGGGAGTTCGGGCTTCTGCAGGACGTGTCATGGCAACAAAGGACCGAGAGATGTATTTGTGCTGCCCGCTAAGTATACAGATGATTGACTTAGATACACTTCCCAGACATAAACAGTGGAAAAAAGCCACCGGAGCTCAGCGTGCTATCAGATGGAGATGAAGAATGCTTACCACATTGTACAGGCCGATGCACCAGCGTTCAAACAGGATCTGCCCAGAAAATCCATTAACAAAGGCGAACCAAAGCTGAAAGAGAAGAAAGTTCATGAAGTTTTATATCAATATTGACCTAAATGTTTCCATTCCCTGAAGAAGGAGTGGGGAATGTGGACCACCAGCTGGACACAGCTGCCAAGCCTTTAGGAGCTACAGAGGGCCGCGGTCGTTTGTTCTTTCAGAAAATATACACTCGCAATATCCCAAAGACCAACATGTTGGGGGTAATGTATATTGAAGGCATGCATCTATTTTAAGAAGTAACACACACATGCTCACAGAAAAACAATTTCTATCTAATGCATATCAAATAGGCATTGTGTCAACAACATGTTCTCATAGGCTTAAAGAATCTAACTTCATGTCCTTTCTTTCCTATAAAAGTGATTTGATAAATATGATCCGCCTTTGTAGGACCTTCGAATAGATAAAAGTCATAAAACAACAACAACCATGGAAACTCTTCTGTTGGTCAAGTGTGCTTTTAGTTCAGAAAGTATTGACCCTCCTTAATTGGATGTCCACCACCTCGGCCAAGGTCAAAACACAATAACATAAAGGAAACATGCGCACACAGCCTTCTGGAGCAACATGGGATGTATTAATATAAACACATAAAATGCAGACTGTTACTCGTGCTTCCTGGTAGTCTACGACTCTATTTGATCAGGCAGGATGGACAAAAACACAGCCTCAGAGCAAAAGCCAGGATACAACTAGTGCCGTATGCTAGGGAATAAGACAGTATCAGAGAAGGGACAGTGACCCAGATGTCACGGGGAGCAGACGTGGAGGTGGCAGGAGCAGGGTGGAAAAGGGGAGGGCCATCGGGAGGACAGAAAACTAACCCAGCAGGGAGCAAACACAGACATCCAGAACACGCAACATTGCTGCTTCAAATCCAGCTACATTTATTTATATGAGACAATAAGAGTTCAGTGATTTGGGGCAGACTTTAAAGTGTCCCAAGCAAACGCCAGAACCTACTTCAGCGTTGTAAAATCATGACAGACTCAATCTGTTATGATGGTAGAACCTGACTGGCCACACAGGGCAGCTATACCACAGAACGCCAAGTTGAGGTCAACTTTCGTACTGACGTGTTACTGACTCGGATCTTTCTCCATTTATGTAAAATTATTTTATTTTAGAGTTGTGAGGTACACATGAGGATTTACTATGTCAGTAAGTTGCATGCAGGTGCAGTTTGGGTTTCTCATGGGCCCTCTCTCCCCCAATAGTGGACCAGGTACCCACTGTGTGGCCATGTGCCCTCCCCTAGCGGTGTCCGGCACCTGCAGATCCCACCCTTGTGCACGTGTATGAGTCTGATTTTTAAAGTTCAGTTTCTTGACTCCACCAGATGAAGCTTCTTGAGATGGGACCTGTTCCGTACGCTCCTTTATGACAACTGTATCCCCAGCATGATTCTCGGTACAAACAGAGACTTACCACGTCCAAGTGGGATCAATTTAAGTGCCTCAATTCAATTCCTACATGGCATTTTCCTAAATACAGCTTTCAGCATGTCATCCTCCAGTTCAGAAAGCTTCTAGGGCTCCCTCCTAAATCCAAGGGAAGCTTGCTGACTTTCAGGATCCCTCCATACTCCTATTCCTTCTTTAATTTTTGAAACTTTTGATTTTGAAAATTGACAATTTATAATTGTATATATTTATGGAGAATGTATATATTTATGGGGATTGACCACGCATAATTGTATATATTTATGCTGCTAGGATTTATGAATCCAGTGTGGAATAATTAAATCAAGCTAACCAACATAACGGTCACCTCAAATATTTTTTTGTGGTGAAAACATCTGAAACTTACTTTCTTAGCAATTTTGAAATGTAAAATACACTCCAAGTTATATTCACCACATTGTGCAATTGATCCTTCTCCCCAGAAAAAAAAACCCTACAACTTACTCCTCGTGTCTGAGACTTTGTAGCCTTTGACTATCATCTTCCCCTTCCTGCCACCCCCAGGCTCTGTAACCACTGAACTTTTCCTAGTCACTCAGTTTCAACTATCCTCCCAAAAGGTCCTTGTGAGGCCTGGAAATTCTCCATGAAGAAATACTGGTGGAGAGCTAAGAAGCAGAGAGGTTCATGCTGTGTTCTATCCTTGGAAAACACTTACAACACCTATTCAAATATCAGCCATCCCTAAAACCACAATTTCAACCTACTTTCTCCTGACCAGTGGAGGTCTTGGCAGTCAAGAACTCAACCACATTTTTAATAAAATGAGATCCTGGATCCACATCGGATTTAAATGTATTTATAAATTGTTTCAAGGGTTTTAACTTAATTTTCCCAAGATTGTGTTACAATTCTGAGTTCTCCTATTCACACAATTGAGTAAACACTGATAGAAGTCTAGTGAGTACTTTATTCTACAGTGTAATCCTGTTCATTTGTTGTCTTGTTGAAGGTGGTAGGATAGTAATATTTCTACTGCTCGCCCCTCCCACACAACAACTGAAAAAACAGTAGAAAATAGAAAAGAAATAACCATTTTTAATGAAGCCATAATAGTCTTAATTAAAACAACAGATGACACAGAATAGATGCTGATAAATATGGTTTAAAAAAAACCCCACAAATTAAAAGAGAGTAAAAAAAAAAATTCCAAGAAATAGGTGAAACATTGAGTCTCAAAAGCTCCACCCTCTTTCTTTAGGACATATTATACAAGTCATTCCAGAACATGAAGACGAGATGCAACTCAATCTTTGGGATAATTTTTGAATCCATAAATGTCTATATGAGCAGAAAATAAAATGCTGTGAAGCGTGTTATATTATTGTAATTCTTGTGTTAATGGTTTGTGTGTCTACCTCTCTGGTTTTGAGACACGTTTATATATAGATATAAAAATGGGTCTTGAACATTAGTCACATGAGGGATCGAGTTTGGTAGTCACTGGGAATTGCTAGGGAAGGGAGGGAGGGAGGCGGCTGGGGTCACATGACAACACAACGGGTACCTGGGTCATGACCAGGGGGAGTGAGGGCCAGCTGGAAGCCCAAACTTCACCTGTATGCAGCCTACTTATGTGGTTAATCCTCATTTGTACCCCACATTCCTATAGTAATAAAAAAAAAGAAACATGTTTATATAGAGATGCAGAAATTGGCATAAATTGTGTTAAATAAAGCAACCATAAAATGCAAAAAAGAAATAGTAGAACCAACTCTTATTTAGAAGATAAAATCTAGAGGCAGGGGCAAGCAATGGCCAAAGTCCCTGGGTGGCTTCTGTGCAGTAGGCTCATTGGGACTGAAGAGCAATGAATGCATATATGCCTTTTTAAAAAATTTTCCCCCAAGAATCAAGCAGGAAGAATGGCAGGATATAGTGGGAAGTGCAAATGGCAAGCAACTTGGCGGACACTGATCAAGGTGAACTGCGAGGAAAAATAATGCAAAACGATCCAACTTAAACCTGAAACGTGCAGAAATTCCCCATGGGGTATCAGGCCTCCTCCTCTTCTAAGAAGACACGGCAGCCAGGGAGGTGCCTGTGATTGCAAAATGATGGAAGATCCGAGGAGACAGTGTTCTGAGATGACTTAGGAGCCATACTCTCCTAGACATCTTCAAACCAATACAGAAAAAAAATTTTTAAAGTGACAAATGCATACAAAATAATCTCTTACAGAAGAATCAGGCCACAGGGCGGAAGAAAAGTTTGAGCAATGTTGGTGAACCTGAAAGAGTCAAATAGAATAAAATAAAATAAAAAATGAAGTGGCTTTTCTCTGAGACAAGAGATAAAATCAGGTGTGTAAGATATCAGAGAAAGAGATGAACAGGAAAAGGTCAATGTTCCAAATTAAAGCCACATAAAGGGAGATAAAAGCCAAAATTGAAGTGGCTCACACCTGTAATGCCAGCACTTTGGGAGGGTGAGGTGAGAGGATATCTTGAGTCCAAGAGTTTGACAACAGCCTGGGCAGCATGGTGAGACCTTGTCTCTACAGAAAAATTTAAAAATTAGCAGGGCATGGCGGTGTGCACCTGTAGTCCCAGCTACTTGAGAGGCTGAGGCAGAAGGATCACCTGAGTCCAGGAGGTTGGGGTTGCAGTGAACTGTGATTATACTCCAGCCTGAGTGACAGAGTGAGACCCCCAACTCAAAAAAAAAAAAAAAATTTAAAAAGTCAGAATTGGCCCTACTGAAACCACATGCAGAGATAGATAGGAAAGGCCAGAGATAGCAACACTCAGCAAAGGATACAAGGCTAGTGATGATTTTAAGAGAAATGGAGAGTTAGAAGCCTTTAAAGATAAATTTAAAATTAAAAAAAAAGTTACTTTTAAAAAACCCAAAAGGAAAGTAGATTAGAGGAAAAAAACGCTCTAAGACATAACAGAAGAAAAATTTCTGAAATACTCTAAAACCTGAATTGGCCAACAGAAACGGCATCCTTTGCCCTAGTGAACAAAACAAGCCAACAGATAAGGAAAGATCAACATCCACATATATCCTGCTACAGAAATTAATGCCTAACCCTGAATCGTACCCCACATCTTTAAAAAGAAAAGAAAAGAAAAAAGAAAAGAAAGAAATTAATGCATTTAAAAATGTTATAAGATCAACTCTTCAGTATTTTCAGGCAGAAAAAGCAACTAACTTACAAGGAGGAAAAAAATCCAGCTGGCTTCCTAGTTCTCCCCAGTGGGACGCAACACCCGAAGAGGGCAGTGAATGCTTACAAGTCCTTAGGGAGATAAAGTGTGACAGACAGGCGTTTTAGCAAAAGATAGAAACCAAGGAAACATCAAAAGCTGAAAACGAACACAAAATGTGATGGCAGAATTTGCAAGTTATATTAATAATAAACATCTTCAAGAAGTTCCGGGGGCCACAAAAATAAAGTGCAAAATACATGCTACATATAGGAAACACGTGTCAAACAAACATAACAAAGAAACCTATTGAAGGCCGGGCACAGCGTCTCATGCCTGGAATCCCGGCACTTTGACAGGCTGAGATGGAAGGATTGCTTGAGCCCAGGAG